TCGCTTTCAAATCAAGCCACGCCTTTGGTTTACAATTGTAATTTTAAAGATTGAAAAAGATTAAAGATCAAACATTTAAAATTCTAGCCTAATGAACGAAGATCGTGCCAGCTCTGGTTTGCTCAATTCCGAGAAGGTATTGAATCTCTTGAAGAGGAACCACATGGGCCATCGGTCGGCAGCGATCGATATTAATGAATTAGAACAACTTATCGAAGCCGATTCAATGCAAACAACACGAGAGCTTGCCAAACATCTTCATTGTGATCAATCAACAATTGTCCGCCATTTGGAAAGAATTGGAAAAGCCAATCGCAATGAACGATCAGTTCCACATCAATTGAGCACCAAGAATCAAGAACAAGAAAAAAGAATGCGTTTCGATCAGCCATATCTTACTTCTCAAATCGAAAAGAAGCCATTTTTTGAGATATCTTGAGAATGGATGAGAAGTGGATTCACTTCGATAACACTTCTCAAAAAAGACAATGGCTCAGCAAAGGTCAAATGCCAATTTCAACTCCAAAGCCGGATTATCATGGGCGCAAAGTGATGTTGTCTTGCTGCTGGAATATCTTTTTTATTTCGAATTATTAGAGCCCGGAAAAACAGTCGATTCATCTTATTTTATTCAACAACTCAAGAAGGTTGACCAGATGAAAAGGATTTAAATCCCTCGACTGTCAATTTTCTCTGACAATGCACCAGCTCACGTAGGCTTCTTGTATGGAGCTAGAGGAATTAGGATGGAATGTCTTACTGCATACCCCATATAGTCCAAACTTGTCACCATCTGATTTTCACCTCTTTAGATCGATGCAATATTCCCTTGCGAATTGCCAGAATGAGCAAGAATTTGAAATTTGATTGACCAACTACTTTCAATCACAGAATCAAGAGTTCTTCGATAAGGGGATCCGCAATCGCAAAGGAGCACGTGTGGCTGACTGGTTAAGTGTCTTTTATCTTAATCGGAAGGTCGAGGGTTCGAACCCCACATGCGACATGGTCACCCCCTTCGGATTTCCTTTCCCTTCGGGTTGAGAGGTTTTCTGGAGGGCAGTCTGGTGGTTGTGGCCCCAGTTCTTTAAAGTGACAAGCCACTCCTTCATCGTCATCTTCCCTTCACCACCAAAAAAGCTATTTAGTTCCCCATTGAGCTTAGGGTTAGGGAGCCGTCTGTCATGACGTGGGTTAAGTTAAGATATAGCCTAGTATTGTGTGTGTCGTTGTATTGTGATTGATATATTTCGTGTATGCGATAAATTCACCACTGGTAGCCCCAGTCGGTATTTTTTTTAAATCTAAAGCAATGTTGGAGGGATTTTATAAATAATGATGGTGCTTATTGTTCGGAATAAATTGTTATCTAAAGGAATTTTGATTGAAATCAATGTTTGTAAAAAAAACCGTAATTTCATTTGCATCAGCCTGGTAAGTAAAAATTACTGCCAATTTAGTGTGACTTTCTTTTTCAATATCTCTTCTTCTTTACCGTTTTTGAAGTTTTCAAAGTAGTGATTTTAACTGTCTAGTTTCCAAAAATACAAAGCAATTAATTTACAAACCAAGTAATTTTTCAAAAAAGTTCTTTTTTAAGATATTCTCCAGTTTGAATTTCAGCTTCATCATCAAAATTTTCAAATCTAAATCTAGTCGAAATCTAGTCGAAATCTAGCCCAAATCTAGTCGAAATCTAATCGAAATCTAGTCGAAATCTAGCCCAAATCTAGCCCAAATCTAGTCCTCTTTTGAATTTTTAAAGTAGAAAACTTAAACCTTTACACATTTCTTCTTAAAAAAAAGTTTTTCTGATGCACTCATTTCTGGTTTAGAAAGCACGCGTGACCAAACAATCCCTATAGAAGGGAAGGGACTCAATGGAAAAGAAAAAGAAAAAGAAAAGAGAGATCACAACTTTGGCCCTTCCTTTCCTATTCCTATCTTTGTTTTTTCAGCTTTCAACTTTCATTTTTACACTTTCATTGAATTGGAATTCGATTTTTGTGAATCATAAAACCATTTGATAGTTGAATTCTTATGGAATTCATGATCAATTCATAGCTTAGATAGTCAACACAAACTCTAAATGTTATCATTTCATCAAAATTCCTGTCTTTTACTGAATTCCTTCATTTTTCTTATATAAACTTTAAAATTTTCTCTGATTTCTGAGACAAAAGCTCTTCTAATCGACCATGTTCCCTTACTATTATAGAAATTTGACACCCTGAAATCTTCCTTTTTCAGCTTTTTTCTTGTTTTTTTCTTCTCCATGAATCTTTTCAATTGGTCTAGAGTTCAAAAATTAAACGAATTTAAAAAAGATATATAGTTTGAAGGTAGGAAAGTCATAAATTTCTACGTTTAATTCAATTTACAATCAAATCAAGACTCCACCTTCGTTCTTTCTTTATCGTTCTTTCTTTTTTATAGAATTTAAACGTTCGTTCAAGTTTTCAAAGATTTAAGCAATCGTTTGTAATCAAAATTAAGTAAGTTCAAGGTTAGAAAACTTTAAAAACTTTAAAAAATCTTTTTATGGATTGGATTCGATTCACATAAATCCAGAAAGAGAGAAAAACATAGAGAAAATTTAGTGGAAGAACATAGAGAAAATTTATATCAAAGTTGGAACCTGGAAACCTGGGAACCTACCTGGAAAAGTTTTCTTGAAAAGTAGTGCGTAGTGCCGTTTTTCTATAGTCAAAATGGCACTTTAGTGCACTTTTCTATTTGACTCTATAATTCGACTTCCAATTATCAGATCGACTTAAGGTTGGTTTTAAAATGATCCTTATTAAATTTGGTTATAGAAAAGTAAAATTTATTTTGTATACTCAAGTGCAAGAACATAGAAAAAAGTTGGACCAAAGTTGAACTACCTATCTGGAAGAGTCAATCACCTTTGACGGTCTATAACTTGAATTTATTTTGTATACTCAAGTGTAAGAACATTGAGAAAATTTATATTAAAGTTGGAACCTGGAAACCTGGGAACCTACATGGAAAAGTTGATCAACTTATCGAAATTGAATCGACTCAGAAACCCAGAAAAGTTTTCGGCTCAAAAATTGAACTTCTTTCAGTCTTTTCAATCTCTCCACACAGCAATTATCGTATCGTTATTTTCGGTTAACAACTGGAAACACAAAAGGAAAAATGGGGGATAACGGTCAGTCAGTCAGTCAGTTCACATTTCCACAATTCCCCTGTCTTTTGCATTCACATGTGCCTCTCACGAGATTCGGTGAAACAAGTTTTTTTAGTCTCTCTCTTTTTCTCTCTTTTTGATTTCTATCGACAATTTCTTATGTTCATTGATCATCATCTAATTGCCAGAATTAACAAATTCCCTATTGAAGAATCGAATCGTTTGTCGAATTTGGAGCTGCTTCTCAAAATAGATTTGATCTGAGCGATTGGCAGGCAGATTTTGAGCTATTTCTGGTTTAGAAAGCACGCGTGACATCCTCCGTTTAATTCTCCGTTTAAGTCTTCTTCTATCTTTAATTTTTAGAAAATTTTAAAACAAAACATCAAATATTTTTTCATTATAAATCAATTCTTCTACTTATTCTTTTCCTCTTTTCCTCTCTATCATTTATTGTAAAAGTTTTCATTTTGTTCTAAATGTGTTTTGATTGTTGTTGTCTAAACTGGCTCAATCTGACTGTTCTACTCTTTAATTTTTGTTCAATTAACGAAAGAATTTCAATAGTTTTCCATTATGAGTTAATTATTTATCATAATGGACTATTTATCATAATGGATTATCTATCATAATGGATTATTTATCATAATGGATCATCGTTATCATCATCTTGTCATTTTCTCTCTCTTTAAATTATCTGTAATCTTAAAATCTTTCGAGGTTTCTTTTGTTTAAAACAGCAAACTTAAATTCTCTTTCTCATGCATCACAAATTGAATTGAGCTTGTAACAACTTGTAGCAACTTGTAACAGCTTGTAGAGTACTCAAAGTTGACCCTGAATAGCTTAAAGTCTTCAAGAGTCGATTTTTAAATACATTCGACTCTCTATAAAGGAACTCCACCAACCATGGGTTGATTCAGCTTTTACGTCTTGAGTTATAGACCATTTAAGTGGATCGACTCGTCACTAGCCAATTGTTGATAATCTAATGGATATCATATCTAATGACGAGTATTCTGATCGAAATTGTTCAAAAATCCGTTTCACATTTGCCGATAATCTGACGAATATTTTGACGGGTTTACTCTTCAAAAATTGCTCTTTTTTCTTTTCCATTTTTGACCAAAGTTCGATAGTAGCATTGTGGTTGGAAGATAATGATCCAATATGAAAATGGGTTTTACAAACAATCACGAGAGTAACTATTTTGAATGTATGATGCCAAATTTTTGTACTTTGATAGAAGATGAAGATTTCAGATTCAAAATGGGTTCTAGTATTCTGGATTTACAGAAAAATATTACGATTAAACTAGAAGCAAAAGCTTAACTCATTCTTGAACATTTCCAATGCTTGTTTTCTAATTTCTTTTGAATCAATTCTCTTGTCTAATCCATTCCTGATCCGGTTATTATCCTTTCTAATTTTTCAGAGAACAATCAATCAAATTGGTGAAGAGAATCGACTGCTTTTTGACGGAAAAACAACGGAAATCCTATCAGGTGAAGAAGAAATCTCAAAATTTTCATCTTTTGGATTTCTCTATGAAGCCATTTATCAGATTTCCGGTGATGAGGTAGAAAAGAGAAGAGTTATTTTGAGAAATTGAAATGAAATACTTGAGAGAATATTTGGCAACTTTGTGAGTGAGTTATTAGTCGTAGATAGCTGTCAACAAGAAGCATTTTGGGATTTTAAATTTCAAATATCGTAAGCAATTAACTACTTAATCTAAATTTATCTAAAAAGATCTTTTACAATGAATTCTCCTTTCAGAATGGAACGGTTACACGTTTTCCTCGCCCTTTTTTCATTTGTTTATTTCTTCGAGGCAATCGGCGGAATGTACATCATCTCAGCCGTACAAAATATCGAAAGACAATTCCAGATCACTTCCAAATTGTCTGGGATTTTAGTATCAGCAAGTACGTTACGTTTACAGTAATCTTTCTGTAGAAAATGATTCAGTCTCACATTTTAGCAAATAGCTCTTGTTTTCTAAAGTTTCAAATAGCTTACCGTAAATACTATAATAGTACCCCATCCCCCTCGTACAGTCGCGTAGTCGCAAAAGTTTTTTAGTATTTCATTTTTTTCAAAGCGCCCGTATTTTCAAAAAATGCGTCTTTGGTATCAAAAAATAGCTGAAATTCAGAGCTATTTTTTGGTAACTAAGTGCGCATTGTAGCTTAAACCAGTGTCGAGAAACACTCGTCCAAAGCTACACTATGCAACACTCCGCACCGTCATTATGGTGGTGGGGTACTATTACAGTATTTACGGTAGTTATTGCAAAAATGGACTCCTCTAAAACCTGGATACTACCGTATTTCTACCATTTAGCAAGAATTTGGAAGTAGTTAGCGATGCGCCTGAGCTACATATCTCTAGAGAGCTTGCAGCACCTACCCCCACCCCGGGTCTGCCTATTTTTCAAAGCGCCCGTACTTTCAAAAAATGCGTCTTTAGTATCAAAAAATAGCCCTGAATTTCAGCTATTTTTGATACCTGCTTAATAACGTCGAAAAACGGATGAAAATCCATTAAAACATCCATTTTTAAGCTATTGAAGCTGTAACTGTATACTGTAGCTAGAATTTTAGAGCCACATTGAAAATAGAAGAGCTGACTCTTCGGTAGTTGCATTGTATTGTGTAAAAGGTGTTTCAATGTGAAGCCAATTTACCTTCTAAACATTTAGCATTCTACCTACCATAAATACTGTAATTGTACCCCATCCCCCTCGTACAGTCGCGTAGTCGCAAAAGTTTTTTTAGTATTTCATTTTTTCAAAGCGCCCGTACTTTCAAAAAATGCGTCTTTGGTATCAAAAAATAGCTCTGAATTTCAGCTATTTTTTGATACCTAAGCGCGCATTGTAGCATAAACCAGTGTTGAGAAAAACTCGTTCAAAGAAGCTAGACTACGCAACACTTCGCACCGTCATTATGGGGCTGAGTTACTATTACAGGATTTACGGTAGCTGTTTGCTAAAACGTGAAACTGACTTATTTTCTATAAAAATTCTATGTCTAGTTTACAGTGAAATATTAGAATAAATTGCAGACGATATTGGCTATATTCCCACTGTGATCTTCATTTCTTATTTTGGTTCCAAAGGGAATCGAGCAAGATGGATTGGGCTGGGAACGGTGATGATGGCCATCACTTATTGGAGTATCGCTTCGCCGAATTTTCTATTCCCAGTCGTTGTCCAACAGGCTAATACTTCGGATATCTTGGTGAGGTTTCATTAACAAGAAGCTTGTCTTCAACTCTATCACTAACTCTATCTCTAACTCTATTTCTAACGAATCGACTCTAACGAATGTTTATAGACCAGTTCAATGACTTAATCATTAGCCAACTAGGTGTTTTTATTTACGCAATTTCTTTTTGGTAGATTACCGCCCGAGTTCAACCCTAATCTAAGTGCTATATAAAATATTAAAACCATTAATCTTGGCTATATTTATCTCTAAAAAGTTTCCCGATTGGAAATATACAACTCATTTTACAAGCCTTTGAATGAGATGATCCCTCTCCGCTGCCATTTTTGGCGATTTTCATTGGCAAAAAAGTTTTTTGATATTTATTTGATGTTAAAATATTATTAAACATGATTTAATAACATCAAGAACGTTTTTTGACCGAATTGTTTTACTCAAGTTTGAGTTGAAGACAAGTTCCTTTGGAAAGAAGTGAAAATTGAGTATTTTTTAATGTTTAATTCATAATTGCTCATTGTTTATATTGCTATAAATTTGTTAGAAATCATTTTTAGACAAAATCCCACAAATTTTCTTTAAAACTCTTTCTGATTGAAGAATTTTTATTGAAAAAAATCGCCAAGAAAGCCAAGAGAATGGGAGCTAGAGATCAACTAGTACTCATTCAAGCGCTTGTAAAATGAGTTGTATATCTCCAAATCGAAAAACTTTTAATAGAAAAATGTAGCCAAGATTAAAGGCTTTAATATTTTATCTAACACTTAATATATTAAAGTTGGACTTTGAAGCTAATCTATCAAAAAGAAGTCGCCGTAAATACTGATGGCTTTCAAATTTAGGCTCAATTGCAACCGTCAGCCGAAGCTCTTCTCCCAAATGCTTCTCTCGCCACTTTACTGGCCTATCCATTGATCAAAGATCGACTTCCCGTTGATATGATTAAGAATTTGATGTTAGTTGATGCGAATGATACATCGATTTCAACAATGGCTCCGATCTCGAAAAATATGGTGCTTTTTTCGAATTTTCTTTTTATTCTTTCAATTTTAGATTATTGTTAGCAACATGACTAAAGACAGCGCTTATTACACTTATTCGATTGAGCCAAAGCTAATGCAAACGGTTAAATTTTATTAATAAAAACTATCGGCTTGGTGAATTGAAAACTGCGAGACTTTGAACTAAAATTTATTCAACATAAAACCATGAATTCATTCCAAATAATTTCCATTATTATTGACGACATCTGCCCATTTTACAGGCAATTTGCGGATTCCTCTTTCGTAGTAGGATTTTGGTTTGTGTGTGAGGCAAGTCTGAGACTCAAAAATCGAGGACTGGAGATGTCTCAGTTTGAGCACTTTCTTCAAAAGAAACCCATTTTGGTGTCAATAGAAAAGTTGTAGAGAATCAAAAATTAGGCTTATAGCCAAATTTCCAAAAGATACATTTAGTAGTTTCGCTTAAAATGTAAGTTTTGTGAAAATTCGTAAATTTGGCATTTCTTGAAAACCAGTTTTTGAATCGTTCTGAAAATTTGGATATAAGCTTGATTTTTGATTCTCTACAACTTTTTCATTGACACCAAAATGGGTTTCTTTTGAAGAAAGTGCTCAAACTGTCACATATGACAATAGCCGGCAGTTTTCAATTCACCAACCCAATAAAAACTAGTTACGTTTAGATTTTGACGACTGGCAAAGCTGTGTTAGATAAAGAAGAATCAGTGGATAAACTTATCGATCTTTTGAGAGAATTTGTACAAAATCAAAATAATTCCACAAATTTAAAGGATGATTTGAAAAAGGTAGATAAAATTTGCGATTTTCATTTGTATTTTAAGGTTTAGATTCGGCGATCAGCGATCGCTCCGTTTGCAGTTTGTGGAAATCTCATTAACAAGCTTCGACTTCATTTATGGGCTAGTTATTAGCATTCTATTATACAGAAATTCTAGCATCAGAGTTCTTTTGTAAGCAATATCAAATCTAAGTTTTCCCTATCTTCAAAAATTGAGCTGCCTTGAAAAAGCGACAACTTTTCGGCAATCAAACCTCGTCACCAACTGGGATATCAAAGAAAAAGCCGAAATCTCTCAATCTCTAAAAAAAATGGCATCAAGTTCAGGAAATCCTTACCTTTTAGTGTAAAAGTTCATCAAAGATCTCTCAGGAAGTTGACAGAGAAAAATCGCTGAGTCAAGGTGACATCAACAATTGGCTAAACTGGGAATCGTTTTTGAAAACAACAACGACAGTAGGATTAAGGGGAAAATATAAAATGAACTTGATTAATAGTAAACATGAAAGAAAATGTGAAACAAGAACAATGAAATTGAAAATCTGCTTTGCTGTTGCGGTGAAACTTGCAGAATTTTTCAACAAAGCATAAACTATAAGAATTAAAGCAATTATAAGCATTTCACTTTTCAGGATCTCCGTTGTATGGAAAGCTCATCAAGCTTTGAGCCCTATTCAATCATGTTTATGTCTCTATTCTTCTTGGGTGTTGGCCGAACGATGCCTTGGTCACTGGGCATTCCACTGCTTGACGACAATGTGAAAGCAAAGAATTCCCCTCTTCTTTTTGGTGAGGACAATTTAAAAAGCTATTGAAGTAAAGCGTTAACTCCCTCTAAGGGAGATCCAGCTCGTTGTGGTGTAATGGTTAGCACAGTTGGCTGGTAAGCGAAAGGTTGCGGGTTCGATTCCCGGTAGCGCACAAGCTTTTGATCTGTCCGAGTTTCAACTGGAAGGATGGGTTCTGCAGAACCCATCCATGGAAGGATGGGTTCGGCAATGCTGACTAAGGTCTTCATACCTAGTTTCGAGCGCACCCCAGGCCTATCAATCGAGACGTGTTGAACCGTCTCGTCCAGAGAGGAGGGAAGTTAACTCCCTCTGAAGTAAGGCAGACCTGGTGCATTGTAGTGTAATGGTTAGCACAGTTGGCCAATAAGCGAAAGGTCGGGGGTTCAATTCCCAGCGGCGCATAAACTTTTGATCTGCCCTAGTTCCAAGCTAAAAGCTAATATTGGAATAGAGCAATTGGCATAATGCCTGTCTGTGATCACAACTTTCAGGTGGAATGTCGTTCATTCGGATTCTCGGACCGATTTGCGGGTTTTTGATTGGCTCAGTTTGCAACAAATTCTACTACACCTTGAAACGTATGTAACTTTTCAAAATCCAGTAACCCATTCCTTTCAGCTCCATTCGGCTTGAGTCCAGCTGATCCAACTTGGATTGGAGCCTGGTGGATCGGTTTCATTTTCATCGGTTGTATCACCATTATTCCATCATTGATGATTCTATTTTTCCCAAATCCTAAGTAAGAAATAATTATCTTTCAATGTTTTTTGTTCATTTACTACTTACAGACTTTCAAATGAGGATAAAGAAACTGGAAAAAGAGAGCTCAACTTCTTCGATAAACACAAAAACGATGATGCTGATAAGACAAATATGGAGAAGTTTAAAAGTTCGTTTATCAATAAATATCAATAATTTCGAGTTAGTATTGTAGTTAGGAATTGTGTGATTAAACAGTGTTAATACTTGCCTTTAGCTCTCTCAAAAGAAAGTCTATTGAGAAAAGTAATTGGACAAGCGGAAGGTAAGCATAAAAGAAAAGAGATCAATCTAACAATCAAAAAAAAAACATTAGTCGCTATTATATCACAATCACTAACAAAAAAATGCTATGGAAATTTCTGTTCAGCAAATTTGTCATTGTGTACATGTTGCTTTAGCTTTTATTTTTCTAATGAGCTCAAAAATTTACGAATAGATTTCAGGCTTTCTGAAAGAATATAAAGAAGTCTTGGGCACAAAGATTTATCGTGGAGCGGTGGTTGGAAGAATTTGCGATATTCTTGCTTTCAAGGTAGACTTTGAATCTTTCTATTAGACTGAAGACTGAAGAGTTTTAGGGTTATATGACATTTTTGCCAAAATATCTCGAGAATCATTTTGGTATTCCGCAATATATGGTTCACAGATATATGGGTAAGAGATTTCACTTGAAGAAAACGAAAAAACAAAACAAAACAAAAATTCAGCAATGTTTGGTGTCTTTGGCTTTGCTTGTGGTACAATGGCTGGTGGATTGGTTGTAAAGAAGTTGAAATTCTCGGGACAACAGGCAGCTTTATGGGTGAGTTTTCAGTTTTTGTCAGTTTTAAATGGTTTTAAATGGTTTTAGGTGTTGATCATGTCATCTTTGAACACTGGTATCTTCTTCTCGAAAAGTTTCATTGCTTGTGAATCGACGGTGGCGAAAGTCGGATTGGCAAGGAGGTTAGTAGCAGAAATTTTAGCTTTAAAAGAAGAAGTAAGTACAGAACTAAACTCAATTATTGCTTTAGTGCCAATGCTTACAATTTCACTCAAAAATGCAATGCAAATTGTGGCTGTGAGGGAGCTAAATTGTACCCAGTTTGTGACATTGATGGAAACGCTTTCTATTCTCCATGTCATGCCGGATGTCGAGAAGCAAAGATTAACAAACATAATGCAAATGATGCTGTGCGTATTTTTGAGAAAAGCTATGAGCTCAACTTTCTAGGAATTCACTTCATGTGAATGTGCTGTTGACGGACTCGTCAGCAAGAATCTTTGCAAAGATGAGTGCAAATTTGCGACTGCAATCTTTTTTGCAACGGTGATCATTGGAGCTTTCATTGCCGGCACTGGTGTTGTGCCAAGCTTGTTGATTTTGTTAAGGTGACTTTTTGTTTTGAAACAATCGAAATTGATTTTAAGATCAGTACCACCATCAACAAGATCGATTTCATTGGGTTTACAAGGTTTCATGGTTAGCTTGTTCGGTATGTTTTAAGTATAAAATTCAGAATAGAATTGTACAAGTACTAGAAAAGCTCTACTAGAAAAGCTCTACTAGAAAAGCTCTACTAGAAAAGCTCTACTAGAAAAGTTCTACCAGAAAAGTCCAACTAGAAAAGTCCAACTAGAAAAGTTCTACTAGAAAAGCTCTACTAGAAAAGCTCTACTAGAAAAGCTCTACTAGAAAAGCTCTACTAGAAAAGTTCTACCAGAAAAGTCCAACTAGAAAAGTCCAACTAGAAAAGTTCTACTAGAAAAGCTCTACTAGAAAAGCTCTACTAGAAAAACTCTACTAGAAAAGCTCTACTACAAAAGCTCTACTATAATGTACTAATATTTTCTCTAACAACATTCCATTATTTCTTAAACTTTAGGGACTTTGCCCTCTCCATTCCTTTGGGGAGTAATCATTGATTCAACTTGTCTTGTTTGGGAATACGCTTGTAATGGTGGTCATGGAGCCTGTTCGCTTTATAATTCAACAGAAATGAGAACAAGGTAGAATTTCATATATTTCATCTAATGATCAATCCAGAATGCACTTCACATATACGGGTATACGAACAATTGCTTTGTTCACCGATTTGTATGTGTATATCAATTCAAAAGATTTGAAGATTATGGATGATGAGGAAAAGGTGAAACTTTTAATGAAATAATTTGAATTAATGAAATTGTGTTAATGATATCAAAGATTTCAGGAGAGCGAAGTTGAAGAAGCAGTTCGACGTGGCTCAGTTCGATTAAGAGACTTTAAAGAACAATAACTAGTTTGAGTAACCATAGAACAATAACCATAGAACCAAATCTATACCTAAATGGAATCAAATCGATAGCAAAATTGAACCAAATGTCGACCTAAACGGAGCAAATTGATAGCTAAATCCGAACAAAATCTATACCTAAAGGGAACCAAAACTATACCTAAATGAAACTAAACTATACCTAAAGGGAACCTAAATTATACCTAAATCGAACCAAATCTATACCTAAAGGGAACTAAATCTATACCTAAATGAAACCAAATCGATACCGAAACCAAATCAATGGCTAAATTGAACCAAATCGATAGCTAAATCGAACCAAATGTCGACCTAGGTATAGATTTTCCTTACATTTTATAAAACAAAACAACCTATTTTATTAATTTCTCTCTTTTCTTGTGGCCTTATTGATTCTTTGTGATTTCTCGTCTGGCATTTTTCCTTGAAACTCTTTAAGTGCTAACAATTTCTCAAAAAAACTAGAACTTCACTTGAATTAGTTTATTACGTGTAAATTGTAAATTTCTTCTAAAAATCCTAAAAGTTTGATATCGTTGCCTTACTCTGGTCAAATCGTCGTGCTCTTTTTCTTGTTTATTGGGTATTTTTTTATTCTATAATTTCTACTTATGGATTGATCTCAAAAAGAATATTTCTGTGTCAAGATAAAGTTTAAATTACAGACAGTAGAACCTCGTTAGCAAAAAGCTTGATAGCAAAAAAGAAACCTGAATAACAAACAGATTATGTACCCTCACGCACGTCCATCTAGTAAAATACACTAGTAAAGACCTCGAACTGCAAAGCAAAGACCCTGAACTGCAGTTGCATAGACCCGGAAGATATGGATCTTTATTTAAAGTATTACGATAAGACGAATAGATTACAAATGAGTGAAAGGAGAGGGGGATTTCAAGTGAGAGCCTCACTTTTCCTAGGCAATCGCAAGGACCCAAGGAAAATATTTAGCCTACTCAAAACTATTTGATCGAGCAACCCAGATCAAGTGGAACTCTAAGAAAATCATCATCTCGTCCGTTGATCTTCAACAATATGTTTCCACTTATCAACCATCGCCGCAAAGCTGCAGTTGCATAGATCCGGAAGATATGTATCTTTATTTGCAGTAGTACGATAAGATGAATAGATTACAAATGAGTGAAAGCAAAAGGGGGATTTCAAGTGAGAGCCTCACTTTTCCTTTTAGACAATCCCAAAGATTGCCCCTTCTCGGCGATGAAAGGGATAAGCACAGAGGAGAACACATTTACATAAGAATAGACAAATCATTCAATAATAACAATAGTAACTAAAATATCAGTTTGGCTCGGAGTTCAGTTGACAGCTGACCGTTCAATGAATCAAGGAAAAATATTGCTAATGATTGCTCGTTATCTTGCTAGAGTTGGCTCAGAAATTCGGCACTTGATGAAGCATTCAATGTAAATTGATCTTTTGTTTAGTAAATTTTTATTTAGGTAACTAATTTGTCTTGAGATGATGATGGGAAGCCATTTTTTGCCTCACTTAGCAAACAACTCACCGATTGCGATGATGATTTCTCTTTCCAGTACTCATTCAAGAACTGTCTTCATGCGTCAACAAGGATAATGATTTCAAATCGACAAATAGAATGCTCAAATTGTTAAACCAGGTTCAAGATCGGATAAATTAATATAAATTCAAAGCTTTGTTCAGTGCAAATGCAAAAAAAATGATAGAATACCTCCACCAAAAACAAAGCGCACTAGAAAACCTTTCTAAACCTTTCAAAACCATTTTAAATATCAAAGAAAGTTCAATAAATCTAGATAAAAATTGTTTAATGATTATTTTTGAATGTATCAATTTTAAATCAAATCAACATGAATCAATTTTCCAATCAATTAGCATGTTATCATATCAATTGAAGCTTTTTCGCCTCTTTTCTTTGTGGTCTTATCGATTCTTTTCTTAGTTTTCGCCTTCCTTTTTTTGCTTGTTTTAGTTTTCTTCAACCAAATTTGCCTTTGCCATTGTTATTTCCTTTTTACCTTTGTCTCATTGAGTTCTTTCAGCTTTTTTCGATAGTTATGTGTATATTTTTGTATCAATTTCAGAAAAACTACATAGCCACCTCCTCTCCTTTTTTGCCCAACAGTTTATGGTAGGGAGGGAGTGGGCTAGTAGGTTAGTATCCCGTCTACAAAACGACTGCTTTAAAGGGGTGTCGGGTTCAATTCCCATCTTTTTTTTGCTTTAAAGTTCAATAAATCTAGATAACAATTGTTTAATGATTGTTTTTGAATGTATCAATTTTAAATCAAATCAACATGAATCAATTTTTACAATCAATTAGGATTTTATCATATCAATTGAAGCTTTTTCGCCTCTTTTCTTTGTAATCTTATCGATTCTTTCTTAGTTTTCGCCTTCCTTTTTTTGAAACATTCATAGAAATGCTTGTTTTAGTTTTCTTCAACTAAATTTGTCTTTACCATTGTTATTTTCTTTTTCTTTTAACTTTTTTCTATTGTTATGTGTATATTTTTGTATCAAAATCAATTTTAAGCTTTAGAATGAGCTCTCGAAAAGCAAAAACCTCAAGAAATGAAGCTTTTAAAGAGAAAGAGAAGTCGAAAGAGCTTAAGAAAGATGAACCAATCTCAATTTCTTCTACTTTACTGAAATTGGTGTTACTCGACTTCTCCGCAATCCCAATTCTAGCAGGTTCTTTCAAAATCTAAATACTTCAAATCAAATAGTTTAGCCGTTCAACGTCTATCACCATATCTGAATGCATATACAATCCCAATGGTCGGCATCTTGGTTTGTATGGGAGGTGAGTGAGCTGGAGTCATGGCAAGAGCATCTGGACTTCAAATGTTAGAATACTATAATGTTTCCAGTGGTCTGGGTTGGCTCGCAAATTTTGCCAACTCGTCGAAATCCTTGGTATTATTTCTTCATTCTCTGCTCGTTCACATGTATTGTCGATCTAGCATTGGCTTTAGAAACGATCGGATTATCTCATGGTTTGTAAAAAAAGATAAAGAATAGAATAGAAAGAATAGAAAGAATAGAAAGAAGAGATAAATAGAGATAAATTTGAATATTTGCTATTGTTGAAATAATTGCAGGTGCCTTTGATCTCTGGCTGAACATTGCCGAGCCTTACCTTGACACAACTTGGGGTGCCGGTGTTAACCTAATCGATGCCACTGTTCACTATTCTCTGTATATCTTTTTAATCAAGAGAATACTTGAAGAGAAAAACTATGATTTACTTGGTAAACTTTCAAAAAAAAATATTTTATATAAAAATTAAGGACTTTTCTGGTGTGGTAGTATTCTCAATAGCATGTTCGTTCTTCTCGGATCAGCCATTTGGGGGAATCAATTGGAAGAACATGAGGTAATATATAAAAGACACTATAGAAAAGGGAAGTGTCCGTCTGTCGGTCTGTCCGTCCGTCACACTCTGGATCTCGGCTCCACAAGATTTCGACAATTTTTTTTTGATTGATAGCGAATTAAAAATGAATAGGTACTTGGTCAAAACAAGTTTTACATCAAAAACTCGTAAAAAATCAGAAAAACTATTGCAAAACTAAAACTTACAATACATAGCCACCTCCTCCCCTTTTTTTGCCCAGCACTTTATGGGAGGGAAGTCGTGGGCTAGTGGGTTAGTGTCCCGTCTACAAAACGATTGCTTTAAGGTGGTGTCGGGTTCGATTCCCATTCCAAACTTTGTTGCTTTAAATGTTTTCAAACATGGAGTTGAAACATGGAAATTTGAGTTGCCTTGCAGCGAAGGTTTGTTTCAGGGGTCTCGGAGGGGCGATCTCGACGTTAGTTTTGCATACTTTACATACTTCAACTTGAACGAACAGTTAGATCTAGAACTTATAAGATTGAAGCTTTTTTTGATCTTGATTTTGATCTGATTTGATTTTGATTTGATCTTGCCCTTTTCGACTAACCATTTCCTTAGTTAGTTTTGCATACTTTACATACTTCAACTCCATTCTTGAAAACATTTAAAGCAAAAAAGTTTGGAACGAACGGGAATCGAACCCGGCACCCCCTTAAAGCAGTCGTTTTATAGACGGGACACTAATCACCTCAGCTACACCCTCCCAGCATAGATGTCAGTGATGCTTCGGAGGGTTGATTTCGATATTGCTTTGAAGGATTAAGAGATAGATCCCAGTATTGTTAAAGATCTCAGAGGGGCGAGTATTGTTACAGGAGAGGAAAAGATGAGGTCCTCTAACTCAAGAGATCAAATTAAATGTTAGCTCGAAAGAACCCAACCAGAAAACCTAACGGCGGGTTTTTTGGCTGATCTATTTATAATTTCATTTATAAAATCTATCTATAATCTATCTTTACTTCAATATAAAACTTTAGCTTAAAGCTGGGATTGTTTTAAACATCCCATATGTTTTTTTACCTCTTCTTTTCTTTATGGAGCAAATGTTTGGAAATCAAGAAGCACAAGGACCCCAACAACCAAGACCATTTATTTTGTAAGTGAAAATTATACATTTAGCCTATAGATTTTATGCTTTTAAAACCTTAGAATGGCTCGTTTATTCCCTTTGGTTTCTCTTCTTATTGGTGGAGCAATTGATTTGTTGGCCGTGCCAATGTTTACAGCTCATATGGAATGCACGAGTATATTCACGAGAACTCAGGTAAACAAATAATAAGCTATAAATGAAATTGTATTAGGAAATTCGATTAGATGGTTAATTTCATATTTTTAGTACTATGTTGGACTGGGATTTGCCATAATTCTTATCAACTTTCAATTGGATGCAAGCGTCGAGAAAGGGTAATTAAGGGATTTAGATTTTCATATATAAACATATTTAAACAAAAATAGCAAAGTGAAAAGTAAAGTTTACGATTATGCTGATTAATTGCGAATCTAATTAAACGTAATTTCTTATTCTTATTCTTAGTTTTTAATAGTTGCTAAGTTCTTAATAAGTTCTTAATAGCTTTTCTTAATAGCTTTTCTTAAGAGCTGTTCTTAGTAGCTGTTCTTAATAGCTGTTCCTTAATAGCTGTTCTTAATAGCCTTTCTTAATAGCTTTTCTTAAGAGCTGCTCTTAATAGCTGTTCTTAAGATCTGCTCTTAATAGTTAAACTTCTAATATTTTAGAAAGAAGATGACTTATTTCATTGCTGGTCAAGCTCTACATGCTTTGCTCTCAAGCGTTCTCCATTGTGCTGTTCTCTAGTTCCAAAATTTTCTTGTTAATAAATTATTTATTCAAATTCAATATCCAACTTTTACAAAATTCAATCAAAATTGAAATTAATTGAATTGAAATTGTCACGAGTCTTTACTTTCAAATGAAAAAATGATCAGGTCGTTTTGTTGCCATTTAGGGCCTCTTAAAAGGATTTCGTTAACGAGGAGGGGAAATGTTTGGGTGGAATGGATTGAGAGCAGAAAAAAAACCCAAAAGGACAAGAGACAAAGAAACCAAATGGAGACCCACTAGAAGAATTTTGGGGCGATTCACAATACACATTGTTACCGATTCAGTTTCTAATTCAATTCTCTTTACTCACTCCCAGAAATCCTCAAATGCCACTCCGTCGTCCCGTGCTCCCGGCCCCCAAAAAGTCACCCAACTCTCCATCATCACCAACGGGATTTATTGCCTCGGCACTTTTCGAGCATCAAGCCAAATCCGTTCATTCATTGCATGTGCCAAGTATGAGACATTATAACTTGAGTCGAATCAATGAGAACGAACTACAGGTGAGTCAATGATTTTTTTTGTTTTCTAATCTAGCCTAGGTCTTTCTTTGCGAGCTTAATTCAATTTCAATTTCAGGATGCAATTGAGTCACTTCCCCAACGCGCTCGTCGACTTAGTTGGGTGATTCACAGCAAAATTCATTTCTATGTATGTTCTTTTTCTTCATACTTCATTGAATCGAATCTCAATTTTGGGTAAAAAAAGGATAATTGAGCTTGTTGAGAATCTCGGTTTCTGAGCATTCTGTGAATTTTTTTTGGAAAAAAAAAAGACAAAGAATTTCTTAGTAAAGAAAACGTTTCTGTGTTTTGCTAAAAAATAGAAAGAAAAGACAGAAATATAAAAATTTGTTGAAGAGTTGCAAATTAGTGTTCAGCTTAGTTTAGTTCAGCTTAGTTTATTGAGGCTTGCTTTTGAAAAAGTTTGTTTCATTCATGCAGTTAAATTTAACATATTGGTGAATTGAAAACTTCCGGCTATTGTCATATGTGACAGTTTGAGCACTTTCTTCAAAAGAAACCCATTTTGGTGTCAATGGAAAAGTTGTAGAGAATCAAAAATCAAGCTTATATCCAAATTTTCAGAACGATTCAAAAACTGGTTTTCAAGAAATGCCAAATCTACGAATTTTCACAAAACTTGCATTTTAAGCGGAACTAGTAAGTGTATCTTTTTGGAAATTTGGCTATAAGCCTAATTTTTGATTCTCTACAACTTTTCTATTGACACCAAAATGGATTTCTTTTGAAGAAAGTGCTCAAACTAGGACATCTCCAGTCCTCCATTTTTGAGTCTCACACTTGTCTCACACACAAACCAAAATCCAAGCAAAAGATCGTTCTCCTCTACGACAACGCTCGCCCTCACGTTACAAAATTGACTCGCTCTAAAATAAACAGCCTTGTTTGGGAACTTTTGGCGCATTCCCCATACAGCCCGGACCTCGTCCCTTTTGATTACTATTTATTCCGGATCATGAGCTTGCGGGAGAAAACTTGGATTCGGAAGAAGCAGTCAGAAACTGGCTTTGAAAGTTTTTCGATTCAAAACCAAAATCCTACTAAGAAAGAGGAATCCGCAAATTGCCTGTAAAATGGGCAGAAGTCGTCAATAATAATGGAAATTATTTGGAATGAATTCATGGTTTTATGTTGAATAAATTTTAGTTGAAAATCTCGCAGTTTTCAATTCACCAACCCAATAGCATGAATGCAAGCTAATAAATCAGCTTTTAGACGATCTGCAGCTTTAGAAACCCTTTTTTTTTACTCTAAGAATCTATTTGAATGGACATTAGATGAGCCTCAAGTCCGTTATTCATAACTCCGATAAGTGAATTTCTTTTGGAAGGGGAGATATCCATTGAATAGCCGGTGGTCATTCAATAGCTGTTCCCCTTTTTGTGTGTGAGCGCTGTCTGATTGAGGAGTAATTTTCGGGCACATCCAGCACATGGATCCCGAGAAAATCCACCAGAAAAAGTAAAAGAGATGAAGAATTTCGGGTAAAGGTGTAAAGGAAAGGTGATGTGAGTGTGTGTTTCACTGAAATTTCTCATCCCAGCTTTTGTCGTATTGAAATCAATTCTCTAAAAAATGCCATATGGATGGTTTTGGCATACAAGATTTTTGGTTGGAATCGGAATACAGGTTTATTGCTTTAAAATCTTCAATTTAAATAGTAATTAGTTGAGAATTATTTCTAATTGAAGGCTAAGTGTTTCGCTAATAGATTCCAGATGATGAGATGAGAAAATTGTGAGAAAATTTTGGGGGAAATAGGATTTCTATGAACCGATAAACCATTGCAGCATTCTAGAAATGAATTTAATCTTTTCTTTTTATTTATTTATTTAAGCAAATCTTTCTACACCTTTTTATAATACTTTTCTTTGAATATTTCCGCTTGAGTCGATCTCGGGAGACATTATGCATGAGTCAAGAGTTAATTAAAACACATTCAACACTATTTTCTATATATCTTTGAGTTATTATTATATTTCTTAGAGTTTTTTGAATATTTAAGTTGAATTTTCTTGAGTTACCCACAAGTTTTTTTGATTTATTGCTTACTAAATATGGCACATGGATGGTTTTGGAGTCAAAAGGATTTTGTGAGTTTTGAGATAGGGAAAATGAAAGAAAATCTGTTTTTAACATAATAAAATAATGTTTTATAAGTTATTATATAAAGAAAATATAATAAAGAAAAGCTTTATATAATTTTATTTTCATTTTAGG